CCCCTTTCCCCCCTTCCCCGATGCTCAACATGACCGAGGAGCACGACAAAGCCATGGAGCCGCCGTGCAGCCCCGCGGGCACCACCAGCTCCATGTCGCACGTGGACTCGGACTCGGACTCGCCGCTGTCCCCGGCCGGCTCCGAGGGGCTGGGCTGCGCCCCCGCGCCCGCCCCGCGCCCGCCGGGCCCCGCCGCGCTGGGCGCCAAGGTGGACGCGGCCGAGGTGGACGAGCGCTTCCCCGCCTGCATCCGCGACGCCGTCTCGCAGGTGCTCAAGGGCTACGACTGGAGCCTGGTGCCGATGCCCGTCCGCGGCAACGGATCGCTCAAGGCCAAGCCGCACGTCAAGCGGCCCATGAACGCCTTCATGGTGTGGGCGCAGGCCGCCCGCAGGAAGCTGGCGGACCAGTACCCGCATCTGCACAACGCCGAGCTCAGCAAGACCCTGGGCAAGCTCTGGCGGTGAGTCCCGAGCCCGCATCCCCCCCGGACGGCTCTGCCTCCTGCGTGCCTGGATCCCCCCTCCCGCCGCTTCTTTAAAACCCTTCTCCTGCGGTGGTTTTATTAATCCTTTTTTTTTTCCTGCGGTGTTTTTATTAACCTTCGTTTTTTCCTGCCCACGGGAAGCGCTTCAAAACTGAATTATAACCCTACCTCTACCCCCCGAGCATCCCCGCACGCTGCGAAGGACGCGCCGGTCCTTGCTCCGAAAAATGCCCCCGAGCAGCGGCTTGGACACCCTCGGTCCCGCCCCAGCGCTGTGCCACACGTGGATTTTCCCTGCTCCATCACGGAGACCCAGAGCTAGGGCCCTTCCCTTGCCTGGCTGGGATTTCCCCCATCCCCAGGCGATGAGCCTTTTTTTTTATTTTAATTACTTATTTTATGGCCTTTTCTATTATTTTTTTCCTCTTGGCTTGCTCGGTGCTTAACGAGCTATAAACGCGAATAACCGATTTTTAGCAGTTATTTTAATGAGCTTCCTGATTTCCTTTCTTATCTGCTCAGTGCTTCCCACCGATGCAAACTTTTATTTGCTGGGTTACATCTCAGCTCTGCCTTCCAAGGCTCTGCCCCGAGCCACGTTTTCCCGCGTACTGCATCCCATCGTGTCTGTCCCTAATTCCATCTTTCCTGCGATGCTCCTGCTGCTGTTTGAGCCTCTCAAAGAGTTTGCAAAGAGAGATCTGGGCCGGGGGGATAACTCGGAAAGCAATAATCCCATCGCTGGTGCCTTCGGGGTTTCTTTGTAAGCACCAAACAAAGCTGGAGATGTTTGTCGCGGTGAGGGGGGTGGCATTTGTAGGACAAACATGGGAATTATAGTTGGGAAAGGCGTTGAAAATGGGGAAGGGGGATTTTGTTTTGCCCAGTTAACACTATCTGTAGTGGCAAGGGTTTTCATGCCTCTATAGTTGGTATTTTAATCTATTTTTTTGCTGTGGATTTTAGCTCTTTTTTTGCCACAGCAAATTCATTTTGTAATTAACTTGCTGATTCCTCAAATCAGTGTATGGGAAATGGGGATGTGCGAGTCTGAAAACAGGCTGAAAACTCTTATGGAAAAGATACTAATTTTGGAATTTTTTTTCCCCCCCTCTCTCCTTATTATTAAAAAAAAAAAAAATCCACACCAAACCAGTTTATTGAGTGAAAACGAGAAGCGTCCCTTTGTGGAAGAAGCCGAGCGGCTCAGGGTGCAGCACAAAAAGGATCACCCGGATTATAAATACCAGCCCCGGAGGAGGAAAAGCGTCAAAGCCGGGCAGAGCGACTCCGACTCCGGGGCCGAGCTCAGCCACCACGGCGGGACACAGATCTACAAGGGGGACAGCGGGCTGGGGGGCATGGCCGACCCCCACCACCACGGGGACCACACAGGTAAAGGGCCCTGAGGGGGAAATATCCGCCCATCCCGCGCGTGGCGGTTTGGGATGTGAACCCGCTGGCGGGCACGGGCTCATCTGCCTCCCTGCATGGGTGTTGGTGGGGTTGGGACCATCCCAAAGCAGGAGTTGAGGTGTCACGCCAGTTTTCTGTAGGAAAGGCTCCCAGAGCCCGCCGTGCCGGAGGAAATCCCCGAAGCGCGTGGTCCCGTTTCCCCGGCTGGTCCCGGAGCGGGAGAATTAATTGCGAGCTAATAAGGGTTAATAATCAGGGTGCCTGGGGAGCGGTCCCGGAGCTGAGCTTCCCCCGGTCCCGGAGCTGAGCTTCCCCCGCAGCCCCAAGTTCCCCCGGAGCGATGCGTTGGCTCCGGGTGCGTGTTGACAGATTCCAGGAGGATTGCGAACGTCCTGCAGCCTCAGACGCGTCTGTGCTCTCGCCCAGCCTGGCTGGGGATCCCGGCCCCGGGGCTGCTCTGCCTCTGGCACAGCCGGGCTGGCTTCAGGCTGCCCACGGGGAGAGCGTGAGCAGGGCCCTCGCAACCCCCCTCCCGGTTCTGCTTCCCGGGTGCAGGGCAGTTCGTGCAGCCGGGGTGTCCTGCTGTGTCCCAAAACGATGCTGATGGGCACAGAGCATTCCCTGGCTTCTCCTTCCCGCTGTGAGCCATCACCCATGTTTTACCATCATGCCACGTTTTACCCCAGGGAGGACATGATCCCTGGCATGGCTGCAGGGGGACATCACCCACCTCCGACACGGGGCTGTAGGTTTAGATCCCCCTTGCAATAAGAGATGGGAGAAACGCCTTTTTTCTTAACGGTCCTTGAAAGAATTGGGTGTCTTGTGGTCACTCTTTAAACCTTGCTTGTCCCTCCGTCCCCAGGCCAGACCCACGGGCCGCCCACCCCACCCACCACCCCCAAGACCGACCTGCACCACGGCAGCAAGCAGGAGCTGAAGCACGAGGGCCGGCGCCTCGTGGAGAGCGGCCGCCAGAACATCGACTTCAGCAACGTGGACATCTCGGAGCTGAGCAGCGAGGTCATCAACAACATGGAGACCTTCGACGTACACGAGTTCGACCAGTACCTGCCGCTCAACGGCCACGCGGCCCTGCCGGCCGAGCACGGCCCCGGCGCCGCCGGCTCCTACGGCGCGTCCTACTCGCACTCGGCCGCGGGCGCCGGCGGGGCCGCCCAGGTGTGGACTCACAAAAGCCCGGCCTCGGCGTCGCCGCCGGCGGCAGAGCCGGGCCAGCAAAGGCCCCACATCAAGACGGAGCAGCTGAGCCCCAGCCACTACAGCGACCAGTCCCACGGCTCCCCCGCGCACTCCGACTACGGCTCCTACAGCGCCCAGGCCTGCGCCACCACCGCCGCCACCGCCACGGCCGCCGCCTCCTTCTCCAGCTCCCAGTGCGACTACACGGACCTGCAGAGCTCCAACTACTACAACCCCTACCCCGGCTACCCCTCCAGCATTTACCAGTATCCCTATTTCCACTCGTCCCGCCGGCCCTACGCGACGCCCATCCTCAACGGCCTGTCCATCCCGCCGGCGCACAGCCCCACCGCTAACTGGGACCAGCCGGTCTATACGACCCTGACGAGGCCTTAAAGGATGTGTGGGGCCCCTCCAGGGCTTCCCAGAAATGTGCACTAATGAAGGAATGAAGAGGAAGAGCGTGGAGTGCCGCGATAGTTTCCAAAGTGCCTCCTGAGCCACTGGGAACTCTGCTCGTTGCGACTGGACGTCCCCTTGCTTCGAAACTCTCCAAAAGGACAGAGCTCTATTTTTTTCTTTGATGAATATGATTTAAAGTAAAAAAAAAAAAAAAAAATAAAGGACGAAGACGATTCCCCCCAAAAAAAATAAAAAAAGCAAACAACAAAGAGGAAAAAAAAAAAACAAAAGCAAAGGACCAGCGATGCCTTTTGAATAAATGAAGGACCGTTCGACTCCTCTGTGAGGGCTGAACTGAACTTCCTCGGAGGGGAAGGTGACAAGTGCAAAAGTGGAGCAGGGGGGTGGGAAAAGGGGGGAGAGAAAACAACGGGAAAAGCTGTTTTGAGACTTTAAAGGGTCTATTGCAATGTGAGGAACGGACCAACCTTGAGGGGCAAGAACTCACTGGGACCAACAGGGATGAACCCCGAGAACCCGGCTATTCCATGGAACACTCCCGTGGGAACAAACCAGTCTGGTGGGACCAACCAATTAAATGTCTGAAGTGTTTGGGTTTTTTTGTTTTTTTTTTAGTCAGGAGTTCTTCTAAGCAAGGTTTGGCTGTAATTAACATTTTGTTTTGTTTTTTTGGAAGCTTAAAATGTTTTTGGGTTTTTTTTTTTCGGTTTGTTGATTTTTTTTTTTTTAAATCTGTTAAATATGTATTTATGTTCTGTATTATTTTGTCGTTTAATTAATGAAGTAATTTTGTGCAAGAAAAAAAAAAAATAAAATTTTAAAAGATTTTAAAGATGGGGGAGGGAGCATAAAAAAATAGTGGAGATGATACAATAAAATGGTGTTATGAGTCTATAGATTTTCGTTGGTTTTTGGGTTTTTTTCACATTTGGAACCGCTGCAACAGTCGTGTTGGAGAGAGGGACTGAAGGAATCTGCCCATTCCAGGCAGACCTGGGATCTCAAATGGGAACATGAAATAACGAGGGGGGGGGGAAATTACTAATTCAATTGGGAGGCTAAAACAGTGGCTAAATGGGGCAGGTGATTTTTCTGGTTACCTGCTCTGGGGTGTTAAAATTGGATTTTTAAGGCATTGCGGAGTCTTCGAAGGCTTTCAGCACCAGGACTACTTTATAGGAAGGTGTAATTTAATGAGAAATTATCAACTTCTGCTTTAATTTTGGCTTCTAGGGACCAGATATCATCCATCAAGCTGTGAAACTAAAATCTCCTCCACTAAAAAAATGTTTAGGTACTTAGTTTTTAGACTAATATTTCATTGATATATCTCTACTTCTTCCATTGTATGCTGAGCATATAATAACCGTCTATTTTATGGTAACTTGTGCCTTTAAAAACCTTTGTAAATCTAAACCCACGTTTCAGAGGTTATTCATCTTTTTACCTTTTCTACGTTTCCTACTCTTTTTTCTAAAAAATATTTTTTTGCATATTTCCTTTTGGGGGGTCGCGGGGGCGGGGGAAAAAGACAAAAAAAGCTCATTTTTATGCAATCTATTTTTCTGTATAAAGTTTGAAAGACTTTGCCTGTTACTGATCTGTTCTCTTCACTCGCTTCTGACTAAGCAATGCTAACTTTTGTACAGATCCATTTGATAAAATTAAAAATTGCTTTTTATCAAGGACGTGTTCTGTTTTCTTTCTGCTTGAGCCTCTTTCTGTGCTGAGACAAAACGGGGAGAACAGCCCGGAAAGAGACGGATTATTCAGAATAAAATATTTTGGTTAAGGATTTCTTTTCCTTTTAGTCTGTTGTTTTTTGGTTTTTTTTCCTGCTCCTTTTCCCTCTACTTTAAAAATGTCTTAGTATGAGATTTTTTTTTTAATATATATATTTATTTCATTTTTTCCTTCAAGAAGGGTATTTCCATGCCCGTAATCCCAAGGATTTCTTAGGATTTCAGTGAGACTGCTCACATGAGGATGGGTTTGCAAGGTCAGCCTGCGTGGTTGTGGTCCAAGTTGATTTTCTTCTGTAGAGCACGTAGGAATTTTACAGTCAGAAATTCAGCTTTCTGGTTGGTGAGCCCTTGTAAATGCCTCTGAATTATGAGAGCAACAAAATTACATGTTGCATGTCACGGTTGGTTGGTTTTTTCTTTTTGAAATACAGCCATTGAAATAGTTACGTTTGCGACTTTTATTTTGTTTTCTTACATAAGCGTCAAGTTGCAGTTCGGTTTCACCAGTTCGGGGAGAAAAGGGGACTGGGACTGTGAGGAAAAGGTCGGGATTTTAGGGAATTTCATCCCTCTGTGCCTGAGAAAAGCGCCCGGGCCGTGGGTGTAGGGCAGAGCCGTGCAAAGGGCTTTAACGTGGGGGGGGGAGAAAAGAAATGTGCTGACAATTAATGAAGCTCCAGCCCATTAACAAAGTCTGGAGGGCAGAATCCCACGGCAAATGTGCCGTTTGCAGGCTCTGCCAGGAGGGGCTGTAAGGGGACACCATTTTCTCCGTGCTGGTTCACAGAACTCCTGGCAAAACGACTTTATTTCCAGCCGAAGCCAAAGCTGCAGCGTAACTCCCTTCCCTCCCTTCCCCTCCTTCCAGTGACACTGCAACTTTCAAGGCTCGATCCTGATTTATGCTTGAAAAATAGCTGTGTTTTGGCTCTGCCTGCTCTGCGTGTCGAGGTGGGGTTTCAGCTCCAAACTGGCACACTTTGGGAGGGGAAAAAGGAGCCAAAAGGTGGGATGGGAAGGTGAGGATTTATCTTTGCTTTCGCCTTGATGGTCGATAGCGAAGCTTGGAGTGACTTCGCCGGGACCTGATAAAGCAGAGTTAAAATATCTGCATGTGCTGGACTTATAAATCACCCAGAATAATGATATTAACAATTGCAAATCACTCAAAATGCTGAAGTTAAAGATTGCACTGAAGCATCCCTGGCTCGTGGGAGAGCAGCACCCAGCAGGATGGATCCCAGCCACGGGCTTGGGGAGCATCACTGAGCCCTTCCCTCCCTCCTTTTCCTTCTCCCAGTGTTTCCAGCAGCCCTGACTTCCCAGTGTGGGTTGACATCCAGTCCCTGTCCCATCCAGGAGCTGCAGGGTGTGTGTGGAGCTGTGCTCTCCTCCCTGGGGATCCTGGCACCAACCTGGCCATGGCACCAAGGAATTGCACATCCCAAATAGGCAGCTTTTAATTCCATTTGCCTTCAGCCACGCTTGGTTTTAGCTTTCTGTAAGCTCTGCAAAAATAGAGGTAGCTTTTACTAATATTGGAAGAAACTAATTAATATACAATATAGATGTATGTTATAATATATAGCATAGATTTGTCCCAGAATTGGAGTTGGAAGGGACCCGCAAGGATCATCAAAATGCATCTCCTGATTATAGATATCATAGATTATATTGTGTGGTATGGTGACATAAGCCTTGGAATCACAGAATCCTGGAATGGTTTGGGTTGGGAGGGACCTTAAAGCCCATCCAGTCCCACCCCCTGCCATGAGCAGGGACACCTTCCACTAGCCCAGGTTGCTCGTTGCTCCAAACCCTGTCCAACCTGGCCTTGGACACTTCCAGGGATGAAGTGTTAGAGAACCCTTTGCAGCTCCTGAAAGCAATTCCAGTTTGGGCAGGGAATGCTGACTGGTGGTTTTTATTGCCCTCTGAGCTGGGGATACTCACTGTGTATTTTTGGGACACTCACTGTGTGGTTTTGGGACACTCACTGTCTGTTTGCCGGTGAGTAAAATCCAAAGCTGCTGCAAAATGGATGTCCAGGAAGGTGCCAGGCAGATAAAACGCTCTGACCTGGATAAACCAGTGCTAAACCCCAGGGATTCGGGTGAACTGGACATTCCCAAGAGCCCCAGCAGTTCATTCCCTACACCCCAATTTCCCCTTAACGACTCTCCCGTTTCATTTCCCGGGGAGAAAAACCCCGGGTGAGTTTCTGCCCAAAGAAGAGCATTTCGATCAGAAATGAGCGCTGGGTGCACAGATCCATTTCCCTGCCCCGTCCTTCCCTTCCATCTTCCATGCCTGCAGCACGGGGAGTGCTTTTCCATGCTTTTCCTGGGCTCCTCCTGCCGTCAATGGCACCATTGTGTGCCCGGGGCCCGGCGCTGGTGGCTCTTGTGTTGGCGTGAATCTGGAATGTCTCTGCAAAGTCAATGAGATCAGGTGAAACCAAGGCCGCCTTTTGACCCCTGGCTGTCAACAAAAAAGGCTTCTCAAGATAATTGCAGGAATACACGAGCGATAAAAAAGTTCCCCTATTTTAGTTTTGGAGCGGGGAATAATGGACGCCGCTGTTTCTCTGGATTGCTCAGACACTGGTGGTTAGGGAGAAAGAGGAAATTAATTTTATAGACCGTATCCACATTCTTTCTGCGTGGTGGAAAAAAAAAAAAGTGTCCCTTCCCATCCTCCTTATTTTAATTTTTCCTGGAGTGATATCAAGTTTTGCTGCGAGATTTTTTACAGTCTGGTCGTAAGTTTGTGGCAAAGAAATCATTAAGTGGTGTTTCTAGGGCAGTGTTGGGCTTTAATAAACTTCCACGTGGGGATGTCCCTGATCCCTGTCTATGGATTGACCTCTTCCCTCTGCCACCTTTATCCTCTTGGTGCCAGGGCTGGATGCTCCCAGCCCCTGCCTGCCTGTGGCCTGGGATTCAGAGGCAAAAATATTAAATCTTAAATTAATACGACTAGAGATGTAAGTGCCATTTGGCATACAGGGTGTGGAGGTGCCAGGAGGGCAGGAAAAGCTGTGTCAGGGGAGCAGATGCTCAGCCAAAGTGACCCTGGTAGGGCAGAGCTATGCCAGGGAGATTTTGGGAGCAGGAGCACCATGTGCGAGCCCATGGGAAGGCTTGGTGGCCACAGGAAGGTCTTGGTGGCCACAGGAGCTGCTGGGTGACCCAAGGAGGTGCCCCTGCAGTGAACACAGCCTGGCACAGCCCCGGTCCCCACAGAGCCTGGATGAACCAGCCCTTTGGGAACGTTTTGAGGAAACTCCAGTATTGCCTTATTTCCAGCCTCTGGGAGTGGGAGGTTGGATCCAACTGATTCGGGGCTCTGAAGGCAAATTCTTAAGCACAAATTGACCAAGGGCTCCAAGCTCCCCTTTCAGGAATGAGAGCAGGGAGTTTCCCTTCAACTCCTGACCATTCCATGAGGGACACAGGGAGAAACCCCAGCTCCCAAGTGACACGGCCTCACCACTGCCCTGCTCCTCCCTGGAGACCCTGCAGAGCCTCCACAGTGTTTTTTGGGACTTCATCACATGACAGCTTAATTAACACGTTGAGGGGAGCTGCTCAGGACTGTGGGAGCCAGGGAGACCCAATCCAGCCCTGTTCCATCCCCTCTCCCTGCCCAGCTGAGCCGGGGCAGTGTCGTTTTAAGTTCACCTTATGCGTGTTACAGGCAGGAATTCGGGATGGCACCAGGCAGGAATTCGGGATGGCAGAGGCAGCAAAGGCTGAGGCTTGGGGAGGGGAAACCATTTCCCAAATGAGTCAGCAGGAGCTAAAAATAGTCACCCCGGAGCCCAAACCACAGAAAATGGTGCTTATCCCAAATTGCCTCGTTCCCCTGCCATCCTGCCAGGCCGGCCCACGCTGGGAGCTGCAGGGCAATCCCTGCCGAGGGGATGTGGTGGGATGCAGGGGCTGCTGCCCGATGGGGAGCACGGGAATGACAGCCCTTCAGGCAGCCCAGGTGGCTCCTGATGGATGTCAGGCCATGGGGGGTCCTGTCACAGAGCGTTTGCAGATTCCAGCCCCAGGGATGTGGCCGGAGCAGAGGCTGGTTCTGTGGATGGAGTGGGAAGCGAGTTTATTCCTTTGCAGAACCTTTCTGTGCGAGGAGGGGGATTCCAGGCATCATTTTTCCAGAAAATCACCTTGTCTCTACTGAAAAACTCAGTTTTAACTGAGCTAAGAAAGCAAACCTATTCATGGCTTCTACTGCAGCCAAGAACTGGAGAGCCACCGCCGTGGGGTGGGACACACATGGATGCCACCAGCCCAGGGACTGTCACCCAGAAGGAGTTTGTCACTTGGATAAATAAGGTGGGTGCTGCCAAAATCATGGCTCTGCCTTCCCTGGGCTTGGAAGAGCCTCTGGTGTTGCTGCTGACCCCCATTAAGCCAGTCCCATATGGCCCCGGAGCTCAGCCCTGCACAGCGTGTCCCTGGCTTAACTGCAGGGCTGGCTTTGACCTGGTTTAGGGAAGCCCACGTTTCAAAAAATGCCAGTTGGACACACTTATTCTGGTTTAAAAGCCTCTTCTTTCGGTTTATCTTAAACCAATTAGGGATGAAAACCAAGCCACTGCTAATCCAAACTAAGAGGGTGTCCCCTCAGCGCCTCGTCACAGCTCCCGGGGCCGTGCTGGTTTAGGAAAAGCGATGCAGAGACCTTGGTGTGGGTGGGAAGGGATGCCCAGGGACAGATGTGGAGCTGCACAGCTGTCCTGCCATGGCACCTCACCCCATCCCACCACAGCACCATAAACCCATCCCACCAGGGCACCTCACCCCATCCCACCCCTCTGCACAGCCTGGCATCGGCTCCTGCTCCCCATATTTGTTTGTGGCTGTGTGCTCAGGCAATATTGTGACTGCCAGAGACGTGATATTAAAACATTTACCCAAAATACCTCG